GGCAAAAACTTCGTGGCAAAATGGGTCAGGCTCCCATTCAGGGCCTGGGAGCTGTTCCCGGCGGGTGCCCAGGGATGTGACAGAAGAGTCTTTCACAAAACCAGGCAAAACAGTTATTTTATGTTCTCTTCTTCCTGCAGAGCCCTCCTGGACATGCCAGTGCCTGCCTGCTCAGACATGGCCATCCCCCATCCTGAGCCGGGGTTGCACTGGAGGGCGAGCAGGGAGCACCCTGCCTGCAGCGGGGGAACCTGCTCCCCAGTGTGAGGTGCCCCGGGCTGGCTAGGATAGGGAGGCAGCCACATGCCAGGGGGATGTGGCCCACACATGGCAGGAACCCATGGCACCTTCACTGCGAAAGGGTGGCCACAGGATAAGCACACAGCTCAGATAAGCATACGGCTCAGGAAGGGGAGCCCAGGAGCTCAGGAAGGATTAGCAAGAGATGGGAAGATGGAGGACCAGAGCAAGAGTGTGCAGGGGGCTGGCAGGAGCTGGGTCTTGTCAGGCAGCACATGCCACTGGCCAGGGCTTGGCACGTCACCACCTGGCCCCAGTGCCCGCTATCTGGAACTCCAACCATCCACTTGTCACTTCTCTCCTTTAAAAGGCATCCAAGTCCCTGCCATTATCAGGCAGGGCAGATAGCACTGTCACGCTTGCAATAAACAGGTTTACGGACAGCCCACTTGTCCTTGCAATCAGGAATGGATGTCCCCATTGTCCCTGTGCCCCTTTCCCAAGGGGCTGTAGCTACCAGCCCACCCAGGGCCTGTGAGAATCCCAGTCAGCTGCATGCGGACACCAAGGATGCAGATACCCGTGGATGGTATCTCCATACCATGTGGATGTGAACCTCCATGGAACAGGAGTGATAGCTCCATGAGGCAGGATGCAGGTGACCAAACAGCAGTGCTCTATCCAAAAAACGGCAGTAAACCAGCTGGAGAGACCTGATCATGGCTCTCAAATCCCCACTGGAGCCAGGCTCCATGGCAGGGCTATAGCAGTGAGACCATGCACAGAGCAGCCATGCATGGCAGCAGCTGGCACGAGCAGCTCTCCCGAAGCCTTTCTGGGGTAAGGAAATGGTGTCCCGGGGGACAGGCTGTGCTCAGAGCCAGGCTTCAGTGGCAAAGTTCAGATCCTGGTGTGCAAGGCACTGCAGGCTGGCTTATCACTAAGCTCTCCCAGTCCCATGGCCCCTCCCAGACACCCTGTGGCCAGAGGTCAGGCTGGCCATGACACAACATGGGGCCAGCACCGTACAGCAGCTGCCCAGTTTTCATTATCTGTGCCCCCATGCACACCACCTCCAGGACACAGCTCTCAGTGAGCTCCTGGGCTGAACACACATAACTCAGGGCCTTACGGGCACTGATGTCCCCATGGCGCTGTGTTCTCCTTCAGCAGCACCAGGGGTAAGACCTACCCATTGGGATGGATTTGCTCTAGGTCTGAACAAGACATTACGAGCATTTTCCTGAGATGCAGAGAAATGAGCATGCAAACATGCCTGGCTTGGCTCCACATCCACATGCTCCCCTCTCATATGTCCTGCATGGGGGCAGCCAAGACACAGGCAGAGGGGAACAAACTTGCTCCCACTCAGATGGAAAATCTCTGAATGAGCACAATTTGGCTGAAACCCTCCGGCAAAGACCTGTAAATCTGCTCACTGTGATGCTGCCAGCATCCCGTGGAGCACTGGATCCAGGTGGAAAGTCTCCTTGCAGGCAGGAGGGGAGGAAGCTGTCTGCAGAAAGATGCTGGATTTATGTTACTCGCATCGCTCCAGGAATGCGGTGAATGAACTCACAAAGCCCAGGGCAGGAACCAAGTGTGCTTCAGCCCTGACCTTGCCTGACTCTCTTCCAGGCTGAAGATGAGGTGGGGACAAGGGCCCAGCCCCAGAGCCTATCTGAATTTACTGTGTGTCTTTTCTTTTAACAGCTTTCCTGCTCCCAAGAGCCTGAACAGATGAAAAGCGAGCATCAGAGGCAGTCTTTCACCAGGTTTCAAAGGTGGCTGAGCAGAGCAAAACCCTCCTGTTCAGTCCCCAGGAAGGGAAGGAAATGCAGCAGGGACCACAGGGCACACCAGCCTCCTCCCTTGTGGAGGGCAGCAAAGACGAAATGCACTCATGACATGTTTGTACCCTGAGGCTGGGGATCACAGCAGAGCCCATCACTGCTGGCTCTTGCAGGCTCTTCTAGAAAAGTATTGACTAAAAAGCACATGTACAGGGGGGAAAAAAAACAACAAACGCTTGCCAGCTAGAGAGGACTGTCATGCCAGGGTTTGCCTTTCTGCAGTGATGTCTCTTGTCTCCCTCTAACACAGCTGCCAATGCTTATTTTAAGTTAAAAGTGCTTTTGAGCCTGTGCTCTCTTGCTGGATTAAGAAATCCATTCTCAATGAGTCAAAATCTGCTAGGAGCTCACACACCTCCCATACCACTACTCAGCACACCACCATGTGCCCATGCCATCATCTGAGCACGTTAAGTGTCCCCTCCTCCTCCATGGCCGTACCTCAGCAGTGGAAAGTGGCTCCACCGTGACACAGACTGACCATCCGAAAGAAACTCTCAAGCTTCTCAAGGTCTGGCTTATGTAACACTCACACCGAGAGCCAGAGCCCACAGCAGAGCTGGCACGGGCTCCAAATTTCCATTTCAAAGTAGATTTCAGCATGTATTTTGCTTTACAACTCTGCAGTAGTGTCCCGGTTACAGGCCACCTCCCACAGCGGGAATGCCAGGTTTGGAACTGTTCGTTTTGGTCATGCTTTGCTTTTTTATCATGCTGTTTCAACAGTGCTGTTACAGACAGCACGCTGCCTTCATGTTGCAGCATCAAAAGCCAAGATCGTAGGGAGCTGCTACTGACAAGCTGGTAAAATGCTAAATAGAAAAACCCGAAACAAACAAATTTCAAAGTTAACTAAAGAAATCCATTGTCATTAAGTATTGTAGGAACGTTTGGATTTTTGTTTTTAAAAGACTTCTCTGACCAGCTCCCACCTATTCTTATGCCTGTAAAATCATAAGCACTGTAGCCAGTCCAGAGGTCAGCATGCTCCATCCATGTGAGCATGAAGCACAGCCTCCCGCAAGAATCTGAGCTGAGCTTGTGACGTGTCTGCTCCCGCATCTGCAAGGCAGAAAAGTGAAGGATGGGGATGCCATGGAGACACAACTAAGGGAAAATATCCAAACGTACCTGGCAAAACTTGCTACGGACTAGAAATGCATGCAGTGGAAATGACCTGCACCTGGCAGGCGAGCACTTCCAGATGCCAGGCTCTGCACCACAGAGTTAACATGCCTCAACGCCAGCCCATCTTTCACTGCAACTCCCATCAGAATTTGACCCCTACAGTCCCAAGGGCTCTTTAGGACATGAGAGCAGGGAGTAGAAGGGGCATTGAAAATAGGATACTGTCCTGTCTGTATGAACCTTTTTATTTTTCCAAGGGTCTAGAGCAGGAGGGTGAATAATCAAAGGCAATTCCTGCAGCAACAGCACATCAGCATTTGAATGTGAATGCAGAAGAGACATTGGTTCAGGAGAGGTTTAGTGACAGCAGCCAGCTTAAGAGAGTGACTAATGGCTCGGGCATGGATATGTCAATGACGGGACCTACCACTCACTGCACTTCCCAAGAGCTGGCATAGTTTTTTTGGTTGCTAAAGCTATCTTCCAACGTCTCCTCCTAAGCTGGTACAAACATAAGCCAGTGAAGCGCAAGGGAGCAAAGTCTGCTACTGCATGCTGAAAAATGGCATCCATATTAAAGGACATGCAAGGGATCCTTCAAAGTCAGGGCAGCACAAGATACGCTCTCTACTTGCCTGGACTCATTCCCAGAGCAATCTGTGGAGCTGCTCCAAGAAAGCTTTTAAGTTGTTGGAAACTGCAGGTCTGGCACCCCCAAGTGGTTATTCTGAGCTCTTTGTGCAGCCTCAACAGCTTCTCTCAAGTCTCAATAGTTCATCCACCGATAACCAAAGTGCATCGCCGCCTGCTCGCAGGGACTTTGGAGCTCCCCACACCAAGGCAGAGCACGATCCTCTGCTGCAGCTGAGACATCAGCTCCAAATCCCACTGCAGAGTGGATGAAGCCAATTTGGACACGTATTTTCAAAGTGATCTCTTTCAGATTTCATCTTGCCACAGGAAGGAATCCATGAGACCTCACAGAGAAAAATCAAATGTTACAAAACCTTCCTGCAGTCAGTAATATTTCTTATGTATATAGGGTTAATCCTACAGATTGATGGAGGCAAAGTAGAACTGCCAATGTCTTTGGCGCAGCCCAGCACTGCTGCATGCAGCCTGGAGGCTTTCTAGCTACCTAAGCTTGGTGATCTTCCTACACAGCGTATCCTTCAGGAATGGCCGTCCCCTCATTCAATGGACAGGAACACATGACCAGCAGTGTAGGATACACTTAAAACATCTGCTAAGTCTCACAGCTACTCACAGCCACAGAGTAAATCTCACCACTCCTGAGCAGCAAATGAGCCCAAAAACACTGATCCCAGCTTCATTTATCCAGTAAGGAGCAAATGTAGAGATGACGAAGTACTTACACATCAGTGGGTTCAGTTGCTAACCCCCAGGGATTTCACTCTGCCACATGTCAGAGTCATGCCCCTGATCAGCAGGACGCATGAACCACCACAGACAAAAGGCTCATTCAGAGCCCTGGCGTTGCATTTGCTGCCACGTTCAAGAGGAGGAGGGAGGGAGTCATGGTCTGAAGTGCTAGAAATGTTTAAACTGCACAGGAGGGGAATCAAACTATGAATGGCTCTTGCCCTGTACAGCATAACGGCACCGGCAGCACAGGGATGGGCTGCAGTTAAGCAAACACTCCGGAGCAGAACACAACTCTGGGAAGTGAAGGGAGGCGCAGAGAGGCGTGCACACCAGCCAGATGGCACCCCAAGCAAAGGTCTTGGCAGTCATTTCAGAAGAGACAAAAACCAGATGTTTCACAAAAGCTCATTTTCCAGGTTTATTAAGTAAAGTTAACTGAATTGTTTTCCTTTTGTGGGGATTCCTTTCTGTCTAACCCGGTGGGTTAGCAGAGTTGCACAGAATCACTGTTGGACTGTGATAACCCAAATACAACTTTGGCTCATCTCACCGCTGACACATATGGAATGACTTGGGGGTTATTACATGCTGTGTCTGCTTGAGGCAGGTACATGTACAGATCAGCACAAGTTGCAAATGATAGTTTACATCCTTTCAAAACAGAGCAGGGCATTCAACAAATGCACTGCAATGAGAAGACATATGAAAAAGAAATTATACAGACTTGCAAATACATAAGAAGTTCAAGAGATGCAAGAAACCTCAAACACAAGAAATGTCAAGGGGAGAAAAACCCTCTTAATTTCAGACACAATGTGTTCAAATAAAAACCCAGCTGTAATTTAAATTCCCTTCAAAATGGGAAACATACAGTAACGCAATTAAAGAGAAACCAGGTCTTGTCCTGGGAGAGATGTGTCCAAAAACACTGATGCACAAACAGGTTCAGAGTTCTAAGCAAAATGTCCCTGGGCATTGGTGTACTTGACTCTTGGAGCCAGAGCAAAGCAATTCATTACACTTGCTGGACTGCTGGGCCTACTGCTGGGTCTTGGTGGTATAACAGCACATAGGATTCCAGATGTCAGAGAGAAGGCAGCACACAAACTGCTGGTTACTGGGAGAAATGCCACGGGCCAGATCTCCCAGGGATTGACTAGAGTAAGGACACCTAATTCCGGTAGCCTGGCCTCCACTGCACACAACGTTAGTGTAATGCTCTGCAGGGTTCTTCAGTTCTTAGCTCACTCCTTTCTCAGCCTGAGTTGTTTCTGTCTTGTGCATGAGCACAACTGGCCATGCAAAATGATCCAAAAAACATAAGGGACAGGACCAAAGAAAACTAGCTGAACCTGGGGCTGGCTTTCAGCTCCTATTTCCAAATATCAGTTAAAAGTTGGAAATATATCTACAAAAGAAATAATATAAATGAAATAAAAAATGGCACCGTCCACAAAATTAAAAAAGAAAAAAAAAATCTTACAACACAGCCTCGTAAAAATGGCTTTGCAACGAGAGCTCAGTCACAAAATGAAGGGTTCTAGCTCTTCGTACATCAGAAGAGGAAACAAAGCTAGAAAGTACTAGTCCACATTCTCTTAATAAGTTAAACTTACTTTCCCTGCCCCTGTCTACAAAAGGGGTAGAAGCAAAGGGGAGAAGAGGCTACCAAAAATAATAAAAAAAAAATTAAAATAAAAAAAAGGAAGAAAGAAAGGAGAAAGAAGGAAAGCGCGCGCGAGAGAGAGAGCAGTCTGTGGTCAGAGGCTCAGAGCAGGGCTGAGTTCCTTTTAAGGGTTTAAAAGATGCAAAACAGTTCCTCAAAAGTTCCCTCTCTTCAACAGTTAGTTCAATGCTGTAGCCATAGAAACTCAAGTATATACTGGAGGAGAGATTCTTTCAGGCAGATCCACCGTCATCTGGAGAGCTGTTCAGTGGGTGTTAATCCTCAATGATTATGGGTTCATCATTCATGGGCTGGCGTAGCTGTACTGCCTGGATGGGCCGGAGGATAATAGGCTTGTAAGGGCGTCTGGCAGCTCGCTTGGCTTCAGAGGAGGAAAGCAGCTTGCGGATTTTCCTGCATACAGCAAGGAAGAAAGGAACTGATTACAGAGACTGGATGCTAACTATTGTAGCTTTCTCAGTTCTCCCAAGGGAACCAGGCCTGCATATGCAGCGGCTGCTTGCTAACGGGATGGGCTAATGCTGTTATTTCAGTAATGAATTCCCTGGAGAACTTTTGTTTTCTGGTTTATAAACCCACCAATGAAGATGAAATTGCATTCTCTGTTCCAGAATCCTTCCCCTGCAGAGCAGAAGGCATTCTGGTCCAGCCTTGTATGACCAGGGTCTACTGCTGTAAATACAGCACATGAAATAGTTACGACAGCCAGTTTCCATACCACTAATCAATTTTGAAGCACAGTCAGTTGGATGTGCTGCAGGCAGCTTTGTGGGAATTTATACAACCAAATTACAACCAAATCACTTCAGGCAACATTGGTCACATCCCCACGTGCTTATCCATCTCTCACAGAGTTCTATCCATCTCTCTAAGTGCTCTCTGACATTCCCCAGCCTCAAGCAGGTGCATACAGCTGCCTCTTCAAGAAAGACCTGTCACAGAACAAGCAAGCAACATCTGGTCCCCCATGGAGCTATGCCTCAAGGCTGAGCTGCTGCAAGGGAGCTCCACGATAGCCACTAACCAGTGAATCAACACTGGTGCCCTTCCTCCCCACTGGGTAATACTAACAGGGTGTCTACCCCTCTTTTTTCTCCCACACTGTGTGTGTCCAACCCAGAAATGAGTAATATTCATGTCTTGCATCTGTTAAGAGTTTCCCTGTATGTTACAAGACTAGCAACAAGTCTCATCAGATAAAATAAGCAGTTTTCCATATGGAGAGAATGTAAAAGGAAGAATATAAGGGGATGCACTGAAGTTTTATAATTAGTAAAATAAAGGCAGAAAGCAACAATACAGAATGATTGCTTGTTTCTTTTTGTCAATACCAGGGTTAGAGTTAAATGAAGTATTAAAAAACCCAAACAAATAAACCACCCACCAAAAACCCCCCACCAAACACAAAAGAGCCCACAAAAACAAACCCCAGCAACAACGAAAAATGTACTCTGTAATTTAAATAAGGAATTTGTTTCCAGAGGATGCTGTGGTGGTAAAAGGCATAAAAAGATTAGAAAAGAAAGTAATAAATATTCACAATAGTCCACCAGTACACACTATACACAGCCTTCAGCTCAGGACCTGGGTCAACAAGGAGGATCTGATAAGACAGCACTGCCCAGCCTTACCCAAACAATGTTTTTGACTTACCGTGAGAGACACCATACTGCACTAGAGGAAGGGCAGCCACATGGCTTTACAAATCACAACTCAACCAGCCATCTATTCCCAAAGGTACCTTTAAGATTTTTGGTTAGCAAACACTGCTGGGGCCAAGAAACCCCTTTTTTGGGGTGTTTGAGTTGTTTTTTAGTTGGTTGGTTCTTGTTGTTTTGTTTGTTGTTTAGGTGGTGGTGGTGTGTTTTTTTTTAATGGAAGAGATACAATCTTACTGAGCTGAAGTCTATCACTGTGCTGATTTCCACATCTGAGATGTGCCAGTTGCATAAGAAATTGGTCAAAATACTTCCCCCCTCCCTCCCCTTAAGATTTACCCTTACCACACCAGCACTGACAAATCAACAACTTCAGAAGATTTTGAATCAGCTCTAGACAGATTTGGCCACCTACTCACTTGCGTTTTTTGCCCACTGAGCACAACAAACCTGCTAGTAGCGCTTACACACACACACAGATGCAGTCTTCTGTTTGCTCAGTGTCCCCATTTCCCATCTAAAGTTGAAAGGCCACAGAGTGGGGGAGAGGAGAGAACAGGGTAGAAAGAAACAAGGTGGTGGGGATAAAAAAACAACTCCAAAACTTGGTGTGATGCTTTTTCTAAGACTCATTTAGCTGTAACTGATCTACTTTTAGCCAGTGGAGCTTCATACAATATCCGCATGTGCTCAATTAGACATGCTGCCATCAGAATCATGTCTCGTAGCAGTTCTAGATTCTGATCAGGTCACCGACTGCCTCCACTTGCATAAATTATAAATGCCAAGTTCCTTACTGTGAGGCTTGAATGCAAAATCTTACTCCTTTTAATTGACCAACTTTTCAAACTGCTCCCCCTCAAAGCTACCCAGTTTTCCAGTACTGTTCTCAACAGAGCTACACAAAAAGGGGAGGAGTGTGTGTGAATAAAACTGTAGGAAAACCTGCTTTCTGTGACTGAAAACACAGCCTGACCCTCAGCTGGAGGATGATATGCAGATACTGCTGCTAGATTGATTGCTGTGGAGCGAACACAAAGCTCAAATTGTTTCAGAGCTCACAAACAAGTCTTACATGCTTGACACTGGAATGTAGCAGATGTTTCAGGGAAAAGTTAGAGGTGAAACGCCCAACAGAAGCCCCGTGCTGCTTACAATGTTACATCACTCAGGCTTCCATGCTTTTCAACAGGCTGCCAAACATCTCCTTTCAGCACTCATCGCACCGCTAAGCAGCAAGGCTATCAGACAAAGAAGCCCGTTCTCTCTTTTTCTTTCTTAAATAGAAGAGATAAGGTCTTACTGAGCTGATGTCTATCACTGTCCTATGATTTCTAGGTTAGAGATGTGCTGGTTGCTCTGGGACTGATCTGCCCTGCCTCAGTCAGTGGTTCTGTATGAGCAGACGATTCTGTGCCTTTACAGTAAATTGCTCTCACAACCAACATCACACTTGATGAATATTCTCACTGTTCTGTACAAATCAAAGGGCAGAGCCTTGTAGTAGCACTGAGACGTTACTACCATGGACCTGCAGTATTTTTCGTGGGTTGGACCATAAAGATGTCAAGAAGTGTTTTGTAGATGCAAGATTACGAAATAAGCCTTGAGCATCTAAGGACTGACCTAGAGACCCTGCATCCACAATGGCACATGAATTTGCTACAGCTGCAGGTCTGTAACAGGATCCCAGAACCTCTTTATCAGAGCAAGAGGACAACAGGAATAAGGAAACTGCTTCCTCTGAAAATTAAATACTTCTCTCACTTTAGTTTTAATTATATACAGAATCCCACTGCTTACTTTCACAGCATCTCACAAGAACAGAACAGGAGAAGGGAAAATGCAAGTAAAGATATGAGCTCATGTGAAATGCAGTTGCATTAAAGGTGTCCATAGGAACAAGCCTGACAAAGAAATTTATTTCATGTTTCTCCTGTGTTCTAGCAGGGGTGGAGGTGTTCCTGCACTGAAATAATGATCCACTAGATAGTGGTTAACAACTTGAATGTTTATTGGTCTCGACTTGCTTATGAAGCCCATCTTTGATACTAGGCCCACAGAATAGTCACTTGACACTTGAAAAGTTTTGCAGGCTGAGGAGGAGTTGGGGGATGTCAGGACTCTGACTATGTACTTCATGCTGAACAAATGAAGATTCAGAACAGTGCCCAATTTAGTACTATCAGAAGAGATGAAGTACTCGAAATTCCTGATCTTGGCCACTTGTCAGGGCTCAGACACCCAGTAATTCCCAGGTCCATCTGTGCTAGGTACTGGAGGGACAGCTAAGTGCTTCTCTGCCTATTGGGGGACTAATACTAGTTGTTGGGAACTCCAAGCTTCACACACAGACAAAAGCCAGAGAGCACCTCTGGTTGCAGAGAAGGCTGAAAGGCAGGACTGGCTTTGCTCTGACCTTCTTCGAGGTTACCCAAGAGAGAGGCATCAAGTTCTTGTGAGGAAACCACACAAGAATATGTCTCTACCTTTTTCACCACACCCAGAAGCAGTCCTTCCTTCCTAGGAATAAGATAGTACTGGGAACACAAACACAAAAGCTCTGTTTGGCAACAGGCCACATAGCTTCTACTGCTCTAAACAGAGTTTACTGTGAATATCATGCAAGGAAGGATTATTTTACTATTTCTAACCTCTGCACAGACTAACAAGAAGGACTAGCAGAAGCAGTACCACCAAAGGAGGAAGACGGACACTGCAGGGAGGGCTAAATCTCACCGCTACCGGTGAAATATAAACCACCAGAGAAATGAGGCAACTCAGCCATTGGAAACCCTCTGTGTCACTTGCAGGTTTCAGCACTCAGACACATGAGGAGATGTTCTGAGAGGTAATAGTATGCAAGAGGGTATGCAGAGCTCTGCAGAGGAGGCTCTACTCCTCAGCACCACCTGTGTACCAGAAGGCCCTATCCTGTTACTGAGACACTGCAGTGGGACCTCCAAAGGCAGTTATGGGCCTGAACCAGGTGCATTTTTCATCTCTGTCTTCCTCCCCTTATTGCCCATCTCTTACAGGAATTGCTCTGGAAAAGAATAATCTGCTTTCTCTGGAATGCAAGTGCATGATTAGGCACATCAGACATTATTAGGTATATCAAAGTCTTTATCCACCTCAACACTGGTAGTGGTCTCTGAATTCAGTTTGTAGAAACAGATCTGCTGAAGAGATCCCTGTTCAACCACAATTATCAGCTGCAGCACCCACAAGGAACGCAAACCAGAAGACTTCCCCTTAAACCCTCCGCAAGACCCAGTTTCCTACCTGGTTTCTTCAGTGGCCATGTAAAAAACATCGTCTGGTGCATCAATCCAGTTCATCCTCCTCCTTTTCACTGGAGGCATGGATCCACCACGAATTAATCGGACTTTTGTTGGGTATGATTTCCCATTGAGCAGCAAGTTTCGGCTTGGTCCCTAACGTGATACATAAAAAAGTATAGTTATGGACTGCAACAAACCCGCAGTAGTAGCACGTGATAAGCACTCAAAGGAAAAGATAATTAAAAGTTTTTGTATCAGTTGTTGAGAGCTTATGGTAAGAATTTCCCCTCTTGCCCATGACTGAACACAGAATTCACATAAAAGCAAGTGTCCACAAGCAGTACAAGTTAAGCACCTTCAATATAAAATAGGACACCAATACTCCAGCGACAGGACAAATAATAAATGAAAGGCATTACCAATAATCTGTTGCTTGTGTCTGAAAGATGACATCAAGGTTGAAAGATTGAGCATAAGACTTAGATTTCAACTACTACCATAAATCTAGAGCAACTCTATTGACTTCAGAGAAGGATATCTAACTACACAGCAAACCAAATACAAAAATCAGAATTTACAGTTATTCTGGGGTACCGAACTTACCCATATCCTTTTTGTTCTAGGGAGGTTAATATTTAATGAGGATAGCATATAATTAAATATGTTGAGAATAAATCTAGTACTACAAAGCTTAGCAGCTTTCATCATAAAATCCTTTTAGCATTTAACACCACAGATTTCCCATATATAACACATTTGCTTTGCAAATCAACACAGGTATAATTTTCCAGTCCCACAGAAGCCCCCTTCCACTCAACTGGAAAAACACAAGCTGTTACTAAGAGAGGTACAGATGAAAGGGAGTAAAGTTTTAAGCTTCTCATATGCAGCTGTCCTTGATCATCTGAAGTCCAGTTCTGCTGCCCTCTTCCTGCTGGTTAGCACATTGAGAAATCCCACTGAAATCATTAACACTAAAGAGTCAGAAAAGATGCAAAATAAGGGCACAGAAAATTTGATTAAAGCTGGTCAGAAAATGCCCCAATAGAAATTTAATTCTTGTGTTTCACAGGTCAGACCACCTCCCCAGATGCACTAAGGCTTGTCCTTCTGCCCATGAAATGGGAAACTGAGCATGTACATGAGGGATGTCTGGCCTGGGAGATCCACCTCAAAAGGAAAGGTGGTGACATGAGGTATGCATGTCCTTAAGTGTCAGGTTATGGCGCAAAAGCTCGACCAAACTTTATCACTTTGACTTAGAAAGGGAAGATTTCAATCTGTCAACCAAGGAAAAAACCAACAAAACCCTGCGTCTCATTTTTATCTGAGAGGAAACCAAAAAATGATAGATTACTTGTTTTCTTTTTTGACCAGCCTTAATCCACTGTGCTAGCAAGATCTACTTCCTGTCAAAAATTAGGGCTTTAGAACTGAACAAACAGAATCCCACTTTTTAAAATCCATAGGTCATTAAAGCTGTTGTATACAGGTGCAATAACAATTCAATTTCTCAGTTGCCCAGCTCCGTGCTATACAAGACAACTTTGGCACCACAGCAGACCACTGAAATATTTCAAGAAGTGCTTTTATATCTGAGATATATTAAGGAAAATATTTAAAATAAAAAGTTTTTCTGTTGGTTTGTTTGGGGTTTTTTTGTTTGTTCGTTTGTTTTTGTTTAGGTTTTTTTTACCCCTTCCAGATTTCTCCAAGACAATCCTTTCGTTAGTGTTGCAAAGGATATTTACTCCACATCTGCTACGTACACAGGAGAACGACTCTGGAAAAAGTTCTTGGAAATACCTAGAAAGGGCACTCCTGTGCTTCCAGGTTGCCTTTTCTCTACCTGCACAGAGCAATCTGTTTCAAATGGTACATCCTGAAAGAGGGACCTTTAATTTTCTGTTTAGTAGCACACTTTGTCAAGCAACCAGAAATCAAGACAGTTCAGAGGCTTTACCCTAAAACACTTAAAAAGTGTTAAGTCATCACAGATTTCTCCCACTGCACTGAGTTGGTTTATTCAGCAGACACAAACAAGTAGCCAGTCTCCTCAATGACAAGAAATGAAGCTGAATTAATGGAGGAATATAATTTACCACTTCAGATCAGATGCTCAAGCAACAAACCAAATGAATGCTTTGTTATTACAAGCAGACTCGAATGCTCAAGTTATAGCCTACTCTCATGATACTGCACACTATCCAAGATTATTAAACTTAATAATGCTTGCGATCACCACTCAGTGACCATCGGTCATACCTGCTGCTGACTGACCCATGTCAGAGTGACACTACTGACGCTTATACATTGTGGCAATTCACCTAATGAGGCAAGCTCCACTTTATCAACATCAGAAGATCATTTATTGGTGGGAAAAAGTTATGCTTGAAGTTCTCTCCTGTGAGCCTCCCATAAGCCATGTGTAAGGGTGGAAAGTGATGCACAGCCTCTGCCCTGGCCCCTTCACACCAAGGTTAATTTCATGAGAAAGCATTTTGCCAGAGACACATCAATCAGACTGGCTATTTGCTTCTGTCCTTTGATTAAACTCAGCATAATGGATGAAAGGCTAGGAATAATTTTTACTCAAATAAAACCCAAGCATTCTCAGCAGACAACTTGCACACCAACTTCCTAAAAAAATAATAAAAAAGAAGCTGTTTTCCAAACAAATCCTTCCATCATTTCAACCTTCCTCCTCCAGGGAAACACATTCCACCTAGAAACACATCCCAGAACTTTGCTATAAACAGCCACTCAGTTTCTGTATGAGCAGAAACAAAATGTTCCATTCAAAACAGAATTCATTTATATACAGATAGACAGATTCAAGGTTTAAATTGCATTTTAACCACTTGGATGTTTCATATGCCTCAAAATTGTATTTATTTTTATTTAACATTTTCAATTAATTGGGTAAAATGACCAGCTGCAAACAGCAAAGACTGAGTGAAACACTATGGTTTAATGGGGTGTTCTATCTAGCATAGGTTAATAATCCTTCTTTTCCCTGTTTTGGTTAAATGAACATTCTCTTACCATTTGTCTGGTTTGTCCGTGGTTAGGCAGACCTAACAAACAGGAAAGAGAATAGAGCTGGTAAGACCATTGCTTTTCCAAGACAGAAAAAAGTACAAAATCAAAACACACGCAGCTATTATTGCAACTGTGTTGTTTTGCTAAATCAGGAGTTGTCTACCAAACTAACTTCTTCTCTCCTAGAAAGGTAAACTAGGAGCTTCCTTAACAACATGGTTTGAAGAGCAGAGGCCCCAAGTTAAAACACATTCCATTTGCCCAGTTTTTTCTCTGTTTACTCACACCTTTCTTCAAACTGCCACTAAAAGTACACTTCCTCTTTCAGATCCAAGGTTTTCCTCAAGTCTTGGGAAAAATCTGGCATTCTGTTTTAGTTTTGGAGGAATTTAGTGACATCAAGAAAGAGAAAGTGGAAGGTATTATACACTGTCAAGACAGCAACAAGTAGAATCTTTCCTATCATCCTTGGATCCCCAAGAGAACTCTTCAGCTCAGGCGTTAGCTACAAGCTGTTAGCAAACAGACTCTATCTGCTG